TTTTTGTTTCAATGATCGACACATTTTGCCATCCATTTCTATCTGATATACTGTGTAACCGAACTCTACCCTTAAAAACATATATATATGTGTCTTGCAATATCTATTTTATAAACAAAAAGTAAAGTTTATTAGTAAGAATATAATTACAATATTAAAAAATTATATAATCAACTACTTATTATATTTTATTTAAAAATATATAACTTCCAACTGCTAATTATTTATTGTTTCTTTATGAAACTATAAAGTTCTTTCGATTTTAATAATTTTACATGGCTATGACAGTAGACATGTAGATCGCATGAAAACTTGTCTGACTGATACAACCACTACTTATACAAAATTAACCGGTTAAATTAATTATTTTAATCAATTAATCGGTTAATTTTAACCAGTTAACCGAATTAACTAACCGGTTAAAAATAAACCTTAACCGGTTAACGGTTAACGGTGCCGATCTCTACTTTAAACAATCATCAAATTGTGACGTAAATAGAATTTACACTATGTTGGTTGACTGTATTTATATTATTTAGTAATAGACATTTCATCTAAATATTTTGACTTAAGGCATATCTTAAAACAATTTAGACACCTAACTATCTTAACTAGGTGGACTTTTGGCTTTATTGCGAATTTTTTTTTATTTAACATCTTAACTAAAATTAAATAACTGTTGTATGAAAGAAAGTAAAATAAAATATGTTTTTTGAAACAGTTGTTTTGTTTAACAACAGTAAATTTATAAAAACAAACTTAATTACTTTACCTTTTAATCAAGTAATTCGATTAAAACAGATAAAATTATTGAAATGGTATATTCATAAATTTGCTCTTTAAAAATGATATTAAAGCAAGATTGTCATTACAACAAGCTATCTTATCTATTACATTTGTTTCATATTTCATACTTTTATATTTCATGTTTTCATGAAATCAAAAAATAAATTCCTTAATATTAAAATCGGAAGTAGTCAATAATTGTATTCCAATCAGCATTAGTATTAAAATCAAACGAAATAGAATGTGGTGAAACTACATAATCGTTATTATTTCTCTTATCTTTTTGATTTTCTTCTATTTCTGATTGTTGAGTCACAAAATGAAGCGAGATTGTACTATCATCTTTGTAAGAAAAGGTAGAATATGTATGAGGTGATGATAAGACTGCACGATCGTTGTTATGAAGTTTCTCATTTTGGTTTTGTTTCAGTTCTAGTTGTTGAGCCATAAAATGAGACAAGCTTGTATTATCACTTGCGCAAGAAAAAGTAGAATGCAGATGAAGTGATGATGATGGAACTGCACAATCATCACAAAAATCTTTTTTTTGTTTTTGTTGCATTTTTGGTTCTTGAGCTACAAAATGAGGCGAGCTTGTATTGTCACTTGCGCAAGAAAAAGTAGAATGTGTATGAGATGATGAAGAAACTGCACAATTGTTATTATGAATATCATCTTTTAGTTTTTGTTGTGTTTCTGGTTGTTGAGCTGCAAAATGAAGCAAGGTCGTATCATCACTTGTGTAAGGAAAAGTGGAGTGTGGATGAGATGATGGTAGTGAAACTGCACAATCGGTATTATTATTTTTATCTTTTTGTTTTTGTTGTAGTTTTGGTTGTTGAGTCATAAAATGAGGCGAGCTTGTATCATCACTTGTGTAAGAAAGAGTGGAATGTGGATGAAATGGTGATGATGAAGTTGGATAATCGTTATTATTTGGTTGTTGAGTCATAAAATGAGGCAAGCTTGTATTATTACTCGTGCAAGAAAAAGTGGAAGATGGATAAAGTAAAGATGATGAAGGTTCATGATCGTTATTATCTGTTTGTTTTTGTTGTAGTTTTGGAGAAAAATATGGATCGGGTGATGATGAAACTGCAGAACTATTGTTACTTATTTTTTTATGTTGTAGCCCTGGTTGTTGGATAATAAAAATACAATTTTTTAGTAGTAGGTTTTCATAAGTTAGTTTATTTTTTTGAAAAGCTAGTTTTGCCAATACTTTAAAGTAACTTTTTACTTCGTTCGATTCATTATGCCAGGCATCACCAGCTTCCTTTGAAAGAATTTTCCAATCCTTTTTGCTCCTATGAGATTTATGTTTTGCATTGTAATTTTTGCGGTATAAGAAAAAACAGTTTTGAGATTTTGGGATACCTATGGAATCAACATTATTGGGATTAGCTGAAATAAATTCGGTGATCTGTGAGTATATTTTGCAAGGAGGATTGAATATGAGGCGAGTTTCATCATCTCTAAGTTGTGCTTTATCTATATATAATGATAATTCAGGATCCATGTGTTGCATAAAGTATATTATTTATTTTTTATTGATTGCACAAATATTTAAAACTTGCAATGTTTAGGATAGTTGTTTTTTTAAGAAACAACTAATCATTGAGAAAAGGAAATTAATTTATTAAAATGAGAGTAAAAACAAACATTCATAAAGAAAGGAAACGATTGAATATTGATATGTTGTTTTTAAGTTCCTTGCGAAATTGTTTAATAAAAAAAAAATGGTTATTGCGATTTTCTTGAATAGGGGATAATCAAATAATAATCTAAAAGATAAAGATGACGCTAAAAATTGAATTTAACTTAAACAGTAATTGGAAAAAAAATTTTCCATAATGTGACATGTGATTCAAAAATCGGTTAGATCGAATCCTACAGAATAATCTATGTGAGAGAGAATTCAATATATCTTATGAAATGAGACATCCTAGGGCACGTTATTGTGTATCTTTGCAATCTAAGCATTACAAAATTTCATGTCTGGACATTCCGATATCTTCATCTGAAAATTTTCGAATTTTCATAGTCAGACATACAAAAAACCAGTCATTGGGTAATAAAACATGAAACAATTGCGTCAATGGCTAAAAGTCGATAACGGTTGTTAAATGATGTCATTTACGTGTTAATATTTTAAATTCAGCAACCACCTAATTTTTCTAATATTTCATGCTCCACGTGTAATAACCCTGGTATATACAGTAATGAAAATGTTATCATTATCATTAATAATACTCAGTTTCGGTAATAATTATCACTATCATTAATAATACTCAGTTTCGGTAATTTTTACAAACAATTGTTATATCAAATTAAAGTTAATATAGAGTTGCCTATTTAGATGTAACGTAGATAAATTAATTGATAATGATCTGTCTATGAATGATCAATTTATTATAAAAAATACGGGGGAAATTTTATATTAAAAGATCGATAAAAAGAATATTCTACATACTTGTTACACAATTAATCGCGTAGTTTGCCGTATTTTTTTTTAAAAATTTTTAGGTATGTGATATATGATACGAACCCATTATTATTATTATACAGAAATTTAATTAAATCTTAGAGTAAGATATTTAAATCATTATTATTATAGTAACAGAGAGAAAGTCATCGTATGAACTTTATTATTTAAATTGAATTTAAGATTTTTTTCAATAAGCAAATAACGTTTTTACAATTTAAAAAAAACGGTTTATTTATTCTTTTGGAAAAAAGATGATAATTTCCTCTGAATCAAAACAAATGATAAAAAAATTTACAATAAAAAAACATGATTTTTTTTCGAATTAATAATAAAATACGGCAGGTCACCAAAAAAAATTTTTTTATATTAATAATAAATTAAATACGGCAAAATTTTTTTTCATAATAATAAATGCGACTGGTCATCAAAAATAAAAAATCTCTTTTCCATTAATAATATTAATAATATTAATAAAAATACGACAGGCCAAAATGATTTTTTTTTTTATTTAGCATTAAACGATATATTTTTGGTGGCAAATTTCGGATGTAATAAATATTGATCAATAAAAAAAAGGTGATTATGTTACACAATAAATATTTAAAAAAATTTGCAAAGTTAAACAAATCATCATTTTAAAATGTCAATTGAATTTAATTCAAGTATTATTGAATCTGGATCTATTGTGAGTACTTTGCATTATGGTCCATTTGCAAAATTCTGGTGGGAAAGCAAATTAGACCCAAATACAAATATAAAAAAATTTTATCCTATTTGATTGCATTTAAAAATACTTCATTGTCCCAAAGCTCTGATTTTTTGTACATTAGTTAATCAAAGGAAAAATAACAAGCCTAAATATAATTGTTATTGGGGAGAAATTAATGAAATGTGGCAATGAAATGTCAATAGTAGTTAATAATCCATATAAAAAATATCAGATCATTCTCACAACTTTGTATATAAAAAATTGAATGGATCTGATTTTTTTGGAATGGGTATAATTTACAGTTAAAAAAAATATCTAATCACATTTTTTCCATTTATTATCAATGAAGGAAAGTTTAAAATTTTTGTTGTAAATGCTTCATATGATAAATCAGAGCCCTCAGATGGTTATCACATTACATTCTTAGAAAGGTCTAATTGTGAACATGTTTTATTTTCTCAAACTTATATAGTTGGCTCGGTCTAAAGACCTAAATTTTGGGCAAACTTTAAAAGTATAGAAGTCATTTTCTGTCCTATCTTTTAAAAAAATAGTTTTATAAATTGATAGAATATGTATTTAGTTTTAATGTAATAAAAAGATTTTCTCAAAAAAATTCTTTGTTGTAGAGTTCTATTCTTTTTTAAAACATGTTCATGAGAAATTTGAGCACTAGGATCATTGCTAAATTTAGACTAGTTTTTGATCATCATTACGAAATTTAGACTAATACTCGACATTCATATCTAAATTTGGCAATAGGAATATAATTTTTTAACCAAAATCGCGTGAAACCAAAAAAATTTTATTGATTTTTGAACGAATTACGAAATCGCAATTTTTTGAAATTTGAATGGGTGGCGCAGCAACAGGAGGTCTTTAGTAGTGTTTGTAATTCATTCGGAATTATTCGGACATTGTCCGAATATCATTCATGTGACTGATATTCGAATATCATGAATATTATTCGATATCACGAATGTCATAGTTAATCTTACTAAAAAAAGAAAAGATACACATTTAATAATAATGATGTTTTACTATTACAGTGCGGATCATCTATACTCAAAAGTTAAAATTTTTGAAATATTATGTGATCCACACATTGGATTTTAAAAAACCTACCACCATTCAATTTAGCTTTAAAAAGGGAGTCTATTGCTATTAATCTAAAAAAAAAAATTTGTCTCGAATTTTCTCTTTTCATGGATTTTTTAGTTTTGAAAGTTATGCAACAATAATTTTCGTGTTATGATATTTTGAGTCTCACGACCAAATTTGTTAATGATTTTCTTTTGTTCGTTAAACTTTTTTGTTGTAAATAACTTTTATTTATTAATCAAATAAATCAAATGTATGTTGTAGAAAATATTCTATGAAAAAATGTTGTTACACGAAATTTAGTCTCAATTTCTTAAATGTATAACAAAATTCAGAATTTTCAAAATGCTAAGGCCCAGCCAATTTTCAGTTTAAGAAAAACCAGCTTGGAGACAATTATTGAATGCATCGGGTTGCAAACAAATAAAATTTACAAAAATAATGAATATTGGACAAAAGCTGAAGATACTGCAGCAGATTTAGAAACATTGGATCTTTTTACTGAGACAAACCTAAATTATTTTATGACAAGAATTGGATTCTGATTCAGATGTAAAAATCTTTTGTAAATGTTTTGAAGATGCAATGAGTTCAAATATAAAAGGCAATGATGGTCAATGAAAATTTTGTCATAATTGCTGAAAAATTTTCATAATTAAATGAAAAACTTATAGTCAGCAATAATTTAATTAATGCTGCACAATTGCATGGAAGTGGAAGATTAATTTTAGAAGATCATATGAAAATAACAAGAAAAAAGTTATCTGATGAACAATTGAGAGATTTAGAAACTTTTCTATATAGTTGGCTTGGTCTAATGACCTCCTAAATTTTGGGCAAATTTTAAAAGTATAGAAGTCACTTTCTGTCCTACCTTGTAAAAAAATAGCTCTATTAGTTGATAGAATATGTCTTTATTTTTAATGTAATAGAGAGATTTTCTCAAAAAATTATTTGTTGGAGAGTTCTATTCTTTTTTAAAACATGTACTTTACTATGCTCGTGAGGAATTTGTCCACTATGATCATTTCTAAATTTAGGAAAAAATACCAAATTTAGACTAGCTCTTGACTATTGTATCTAAATTTGGCAGTAAGAAAATTAAAATCACGTGAAGTCCTATTTTTTGAAAAAATTTATTGCATTTTTGAACGAATTACAAAATTGCTATTTTGAAATTTGGTCATATGGCGCAGCAATAGGAGGTCTTTAGACCAAGCCAACCATATGATAAAATAAAGAAAAGTGGGAAAAATACAATGGTTTGAAAAGAACAAGTTTCATGTGTTGATTAGGTGGTCAATTTAAATATAGAGAGGATTTGGATGTTTTGTCCATAACTTGTGAGTATCAGGTTTTTAATTCATTAATTGAATCAATTAACAACTCACAGTTATATGAAACAGAAAAAAATATAATTTGATTAATAAAATAGAATTACTTGGATGACATTTAAAAAACAAATTAGATGGTGAAATAATGGTTTTAAATAATGGGCTTCTTGAACATGATTCTTGCTTAAATCATTGTCTTCTTTATGCTATTGGAGAATGCACAGAAGAGCATAATTTTTTATGCAATAATTGCATGTTTTAAATAAAATTAAGAAAATTTCTATAATTAACACAGGAATATTAGAGGAATTCCAGAATCAAGGCTGGCTGCGTAATTCAAATGAGCACTGACTAAACTATTTAGTCATATTTTTAAGTCAAGTTTAGTCAAGATGATTGTTACTGAATTAGGTTTTTAACCCCTTTACACTACCAGCCCTGATCAGAATAAACTTTTATATTATTTATCCCATCAATTGCATGGGATATATTTAAATTCACAATTTAATGCTGAATTACATGAATTAAGACATGTTGATGCAGTGTTAATTTATGACTACAAAATGAAGGTTAATCCTATAAGTCATTGTGGAACAAAAAATAATTTTTATGGAAAAGAAGGTTGGACTCTTCATACAATTCTAGTAATTACCAAATCAAAAAATAATTATGAAAGAACATTTGACCATTGGTCTGATGATGGTAAACAAAATGCTTGGTTTACTGCATCAGCATTTGATGTTGTTCTAGAACGACTAACAAAGCCAGATGTAAACATCAAATCAATTAAAATAATGGTGGGCATTACCATAATTCAGAATCAATGGTGATTGCTGGTTATTGGAAAAAATGGTATAATTTGAATATAACAAAATGGCAATTTTTGGAATAAGACCATTGTATATTCTCACCGTGCACAACTATCTCATGGATTTATTAGATAAACCAAAGTTAGGCCATAGCATTTCTAATGGAGAAGATATTGTAATTTCAAATGAATCTCTTGCAGGTACTTCATTTCAGTTGGAAAATTAACCCCAGATCATAGTAAAAAAAATATCAGTTGGAACCATTACAGGAATTTCCAATTATTTCACTTTTATGTGGCCAACTGATGTAGAAGAAGGAATTATAAAAGCCTATGAAATACCTAATTATGGATCACCAAAAATTTATTCAATATTTGATATAAAAAAACTTCTCAAAAACAATAATACAAGTCAACCAAATGCTATAATCAGTGACCCAAACAATACCTCAATCAGAATAGAAAATGACTATCCCTACACAAATTAACCCATCCATCCAGAAATTGAAAACTTCAGAAGTAAGATTCATCCTTAAAGATAAGAATTTGGGTTCATCTGAGAATAAATTGGTTATCAAAGAAAGGCTAGACCAACATAGCAGTTATGATTTTCAATGCTATTGGATGATAATGATATTAATATGAAAAACTTATTAAAACCTAGATTTGCTTTGAAAAGCAAACAAATATTTGGAAAAAAAGGTGATGGCAAAAGAATTAATTTAGAAGTGGTTGAAAAATCAAAGAAAATGTTTTTAACTGGTAATATATAGAAAAAATCAAAAATTATCAGCTAAACATACGTTAAGAAATCTTCAATCATATACTGAAAATAATGAAATTGAATTCAACAAATTAAGTCATGGATATCCAGGTTTGATTAGTATCATAAAAAGCAAGCAGCTGAAGTGCTATTTGCATTAAAAATGAATGAAAAAATTTTACAAAAATTTTACCTAACATTAAAAAGGTTCTTTAATTAATTGGAACTTTTTTTTTAAAAAAAAAATCATCAACAAGTAAAAATAAACATGCCAAATGATCATTACCTGGCAAACTTAATAATACATGTGTGGAATAACATACCAAATAACATGTTCGTCTAACATTAAAAGGCCCTTCAAATAATTGAATTCTTTTTTTTTAATTTTTTTGGAAATTCAAAACAAAATCTCTAAAAAAACAATAAATAAGTAAAAATAAACATATGCTAAATGATCATTATCTTGGCAGAGTAATTCCATGAATGTATATTAATAATCCAATAAACATGTCCTTCTATAGTGACAGCCTACTCTACCTGTTAAGAGTTCTACAAAACAGATCATTTAAAAAAAATATATTATAAAAATATATACTGTATGTTTAATAATAATCATAATAACAAATATTTCCAATAAAAAAAAGATTTCCTCCACTCTTGCTATAATTTTTACTAATAGTAGTTCTCATTGAATTAATCTACTAATTTTCTGAATAAAATTAATTTCAAAATAAATTTTATATAATTCATGAAATTAAGACTATATACACCAAAGCTAATCAACTTCAAATCTATAATTGCTTAGGCAATTGTTTATGACTAAGTATTAATACTATTATTATAATTCTGTCTAATGTTGTTGTTACACAATAATTTACATATCAAATAAGGATACCGGCTGCAACTTTTGATGATGGTTGCTACCATCTTTGCGTCATATAAAAATGATTGCAACCGCTGGTTGCAACCACCTTTACGACTATTTTGTTTCCTTTTTTGGATTGCGACATGGAACACTAATATCAAATATGACCAAAAATTCTATATCTCCTATTACAATTAACAAAAAAATTATATATCAATAATATTTTGAGGTTCTTTACATACCGTAAAGTCTTGAAAGATAGCACCCCCTTTTACAATATGATCGACGTTCAATTTGAGCTGGTATTGAGAAAAGTGGGTAGTGATCTCGTAAAAATTGGGGTTTTAAAAAAAAAATGGCCCAAAAAGGAAACTAATTAGCCATTTTTAATAAGATATTCTGAGTATTTTTTCACAACTTTTTATATATATATGTTTTCTTACATACCAGTTCAAATATGATTGTCCGAGGTCCTAGCATAAGATTATCCAAAAAAGGTAACGAGTTTATTAAACAAAATATTAAAATATAACAAATGAAAAAATTATATTAGCCTCATTTCTTCCATGAACTTTTGCAAATGATGATTTAATATGACGAGGTGTATAATTTTCTGTAGGATATTTTTTTGTTTATCTTGTGAAACATATCCTTATTGCTTTTTTTATTTTTAGAAGGTGCTATCTTTCGGGGGTGATATCTTTCCAGACTTTTATGTAAAAAAAAATATGTAGTGGACAGATCGTCAAGTATCACGCACGATATCATTATTATTATGTATATCACATGTCCTGTACAATACAATCCCTGTCAAATGACAAATTGCATTACCATTTATTTTATTTGGTAAATTCCGAATTGTTCAATGATAAAACGATAGATAAAATTTTAAGGTTAACATTAGTACTAGTATATATGTGGTATATATATTATCAGATCGTTTATCAAACCGACCATTAGTCCAATTAAATGTGTAGTACAATGATATTTAAGTTTGTGGAATTTACTTATCATTCATAAAGAGAAAGGAGAAATCATATACATATCCAGATTAGTATTTCCCAATTATGATCATAAATTTAAAGTTCACAGAGATTAACAACGAAAACAAATTGTGATAAACTTTTTATTTTTTTTTTTATTTGCATATGGAGTCTTCACCTACATTATTATGATGAATTGATTGACGTTTGATTCATAGAACAGACCGTTAAAACTTTATATAAAATAGAAAGAAATCTATGTATTAGTAAAAATTTACTAATACTAATAAATCCCCTCCTAAGCTCATTTGAAATTACCCGGAAAAATCTTGTCATTATCATTGCATAAATAAAAATCATCCAATCCAAGGATCAACATTCTCAAAACATAAAGTTCAATCTTTTAAAAGGGGTATCTTAACACTGTACTCTAAAATTGTTTATCTTTTTTAAGTAATTCAACCCGAAATTAAATAAATCAAAATAGCCTATATAGGTATAGTGGCGATTATCACAAGGTGTTACTAAATATACATGTGGTCAAAATTAAAAGTCCTGTGACGCAATTGGTTCTCTGTGAGACGCATTGACGCAGACGCAATTCGTGAATGATGGAATATGCACTGTCTTACAATAGCGTTGTAATAATTTAATTTTCGCTGTTATCAAATTATAACAGTTTTTACAAATTTTACGTTCAATTTCGCAAATACAATCCTAGAAGTCAAATTACTTCTAACAATCAATAATTACATTCGTATATTTATATAAAATTACAATAAATAATTAATTAATAAAATACATATTATACGAATGTATCTTATGTTTCCCGGGATGCTTAAAGTAACTTTTGGAAACATATTAATATTAATAAAAGTCACAAAATTATGTATTACATTTGTAACATTTTCCCGAATTACCAAAAATAAAAAAAAACGATCACGGATTGCGTCTTGCGTCAGTCATAAAAATTATGATGAGTGATGCAAGACACAATTTTGCAGGTTTTTAATTGTGTCTGACGCAATTCAATAATTTTAGTGACATGTATACTCAGGAGGTTGCAATTCAGAGCAGGGTTGGTGACCCTGAAATTGTATTTGGGCTCTGATGTTAGGAGGAAAGTTGTAAAATAGTGTTTGTTTTGTATAATTATTTTCGTAAATTCTCTGCTTCTTTAATAATAACCAATTTATAATTTTAGGTGGAGGACTGAATGGGTTTTGCCCAATCAATGATTAAAATTATTGCATGTTTATATACATCTTTGTCAGTAATATGACCAACAAGAAAAAAGTCATAAAATGGTTTGGATTTTGGTATGTTATATATAAAATAATCATTCCCATAAATTTTCTGTTACTTTAATTTTTATTTGACCAACTGAATTTGTTATTTTTAAATGGGGCTTTTGCCTATACAACCCACCTTAGGTTAAAGGAGTGTAGCTCAATGATATCATGTATCTTACAAGTATAAATGTGACAGTTCAACTCTGCACATTCCTATTATGATAGTCACCATGATCACTGGTATTAAGGAGAAAGCTGTAAAATAAAATGGTTCAGATTTTTGTTTGGTATGTTATAAACTAATCATTTTCATAAATTCTCTGTTTCTCTTTAATTTTTATTTGACCAAATGTACTTGTTATTTAAATTGGGGGTAGGGTTGTTTATGAGCAGGCATGCCACAATTAATATAGCAACCCAGGACTCAAAACTCTGAATTCAGGGAAATCCAAAACAGCAATTTGGGTTGCAACCTTCCAAGTTGCAGAATTTTGTACCAATCTTAACACCAATTTTATTCTATAGATTGGGATAACACAAAGCAAGCATCACAAATCCCAACTTTCATCAGCAATCAATGCCCATATGGTAACAGCCAAGCCTGGTCTGAGAGGAAGATAAGGGAATGTTTTGTCAAAGCCTTCCAACATGTGTGGAACCTAGTCTGTGAAGATCGTTTACATACTTCAAATTTTTAATGGCACATAAAATGAGACTACCAGAGGAAATAATTCCATCTCTTTGTTATCCAGGTAAACTTTTTCTCTGATGTTAGGATGAAAGCTGTAAATTAAAATGGTTCTGTTTGGTATAAATTAATTATTTTCTGTTTCTTGATAAATTTTATTTGACTAACTGAATTTGACCAGAACTTGAAAAACAATCAATAGATGCCTTTGATGCCAAAAAAATTGTCACTTATAATCCACAGAAAAAAATTTCAAAGAATCGTGAAAATAATAGAAGTAGTAAAATTCCACAGTATGAGGCATGTGAAAGCACCGCATTGCATGTTTGTGACAGGAAAATTTTAATTAAATCTGACACCTGTAATCAGGGTACGTATTACTTTACCGACAGTCATTTTACCGACAACACACGGCGCGCCATTTTAGCATTTTATTTGTTGTTTGATATGTGGAGGTTAAATGGCGCACCGTGTGTTGTCGGTAAAATGAACTGTCGGTAAAATGATTGTCGGTAAAATGAATGCCTCCCCTGTAATCAACATTAGATTTATTATTCATAAGGAACTATAGTTGATAATCAGGAAAAATAATTTTATTCTTGTGAATCCCAGAGATCTGGATAGACACACATTATTAAAAGTTTCATTTCTGCATGGCTTTGGTATTATTACTACCTGAGTGATACAATTGTTTGTTATGCCAATGATGATATCAAATGTATTGCATAATAATCATGACCATCATGAATATTTAATGGATGGAGGCATTCACATACAAGGAAATGATTAAATAGCTAAGTCATGTTTGCTTTATTAAAGATATATAATTAATTATACAATAAAAAAAATTGCAAGATTGCACCACTATGTCAATCAAACTATCAAGCTGTTATGTTC